TTCTCCAACAATACGGCCTCCCCCAATAGGAAGTCCCAGCATGTTTTATAGGCATGAAATGAAATTAAGCCCCTCCCCCCAAATTAAGGCCTATATTAAAACATGCGAAATGGGGGGGAATGGTGGGGGGGGGCTTGCCATTAGGAAGTACTTTTGTTGCACACCCGGATATGGTGCTGCCTGCATTGACCCTGATATGAAGTGCCCCATCAACGCCGAGGTCAACATCCAAGCTGTCGCCGCCCGCCCAAAGATGCAAGGGGGGGGGATTAAGTCACCTTCGAAAAGACGGCCTAGCCATTTTTTCGGGGCTCAAAAAAAAAAAAAGACCCAGCCTTATTATATGAGAAACACGGTATATATATAATCACAATACAGAAGCCTGATGATGGTAGATGAGATTCTGCCGAAATGTTGCTACAACTTTAAAAGCACAACTACAATGACGTGGGAAAATACCCAAGCAAAGCTGAATACCATACATGTAAGTACCCACGAAAACTTAACACACACACACACACACACACATATATACATACTAAGCCTAGTTTCAAACCATAATATATAACACTTGATTTTCTAAAAATAACCATAATTGAGTTTTACCATAGTGCTATATGCAGATAACAATAAATTGTCATTAAGTGGAAAAGAAAACCATAAATGTCTGCTTCCAACTATATTAAAGAATGTAATAATGCTCATAATTTGTTCATATTATATATAATCAAGTGTACTGTGGTGTCATGTGATAACTGGCAAGTCACATCATCATGAACTTTTGCCAAAATCAATATGTGAAACAGTTCTCCAAAATCTGAGGACCATTAACTTCCAGAAATCTCTGCCAGTTTTCAGCTGCCAGGGACCAAGTTGGGGAAGGGTGCTATAAATACATAAGCTCTTTTACTTTTGTAGTTGTTCACTTGACTAAGGAAGTAGGAGTAAGCTAATTGTGTTGGCTTCATTTTCAGTTGTGCTACTACATCAATAAGAAAGAAGTAATATAGAAGAAAGTCAGAATAATGTTTTTCATCTTGCTCTAAATCATAATATACAAAGGATATTCTTGCCTGAAGAAAAGATATATCTGTTTAGCAGATATCATTTAGAATGAAAAAGAGGATTTGAATGCAACATATTGCATATATTTGCTGTTTTAATGTACAGCGTTAGCATTGCGAAAGAGTTGTTCAGAATGCTCACAGAAAATATAAGCATATAAATATGGAATATATATTTTAACATGATTTAATCATCATACAATTATGTAGTATTTAACAGTTCAGTAGGTTTGAGATATAGTGGTAGTAGGGATTGCCATGAGAGTTCAATTGGCATCCTCTAGCACAGTGGTCTCCAAGCTTTCCAGCTCCATGGACTGGGGGTGACAGCAGGAAGGGGTGAGAGATTATGTTTTGTGTGTGAGCATGCGCCACTTGCACAACTGGAGCTTTGCACACTTGAGTGTTTGCCTCCCACTTGTGCAGCCTGGTTCTCAACAGGCCGCAACCTGGTAGCAGGCTGCAGACTGGAAGTTGTGGGCTCTGCTCTAGCATACTATCGGATAGTATTCTTCCACTGAGCCTTGAGAATGGTCTCAAGGGTTAAATGTCACTAGTTTGTCCTCTTATTCCTCATATCTACTGCTGTGCTTTATAATGGAGGAGATGGAAATGACATTCCAGGTTCAAGTATTGGCTGTACATCCAATTCTTCTTCTGGATCTTCTTGAATCAGGGTTGTAATGTGTAATTGATCCATCTCAAGTTGTGAGAACAGCTTTCTCTTCACTATGCTGAAGCACTGGGTAACTAGCTGTTTCTCAATTAGTGTATATGTAGGTCTTCTGTTCTTCCATAGTGCCCTCATATATTTCATATATCCTAACTCACCAGGTCTATTGTTCCAGTAGCATTCCACCAATTTCAGGTTCTCTTCTATTGTCCATGTCTGGCTTGTTCCAGTAGCCCATTTATGGTCAGATTATCCTGGTTCTCCAATATCTGATGCAGACCTTATTAATGCAGGTGACATCCAAGCCAGCATGACTCTTAGTCTGTGTCACTGTCATATCTAGGGTAGGTAGGTAGGTGAAGTGTTAGGGGGTCTTTGCCAAAGGACCTTCCTTAGTTGTAAGTAAAGTACGATAGATATCAGCTGGGATTCAAACAGAATCCTACTTCCTATGTCAAAGGGCAGCCCTCTTATCACTATGCTATCCTGCCTAGATGACTGACTGATTGACTGACAGACAGACAGGCATAATTCTTAAGCCTCCCATATATATATGAGATGGTGGGCTGTATAGATTTGAATAATACACACTAAATACATAAGTAGAGGAAAATGAAATAGCCAGGTGAAATGGGGAAACCATACATTACAGGTAATCCTCAACTTACAAGCATTTATTTAGCAACTGTTCGAAGTTACATCACTGAAAAAAGTGACTTATGACCAATCCACTCTTATGACAAATCCACACTCTTATTACATTTATTTATGATGGTTGCAGCATCCTAGGGTCATGTGATCACTGTTTGTGACCTTTCTATATGGCTTCTGACAAGCAAAGTCAAGGGGAAGCTGGGTTTGCTCAACAACCACACGATTCACTTAACAGCTGCATTGAATCACTTAACAATTGTTGCAAAAAAAGGTGGTAAAATTGGGTGCAACTTGCTTAACAACCATCTTGCTTAACAATGGAAATTCTGGTCCCAATTTTGATCGTAAATTGAGAACTATTTGTTTAAGCCAAATTCTTCCTTGTCTGAATGTTCAACATTATTGCTCTTTTTCTCCTAACTATAAAAAAGTTATATTGAACATTGCCTAAATTTGATAATGATCTTCAAAGTAATAAATTAGTGGAAATTGGACAGAAATATTGCTGATTAATAAAAAGCTACTGGCTTTTTTTCTATCCAGGATAGCATCTACTCTGAAAGAACTTACATTTTGCACAGAAAGATTTACGATGCTTTGATCTTACTCTATTCTAGGAGAGTAGTGAAGAGAGAGGGCCTTAAACAATTACATGTGTGCCCATTTGTGGGCCAATCTGATTATATAACAGTTATCTATACCCTGGTTACACTATGACTACTACGAAGAACTCTCCTCAAAGAGCACCAAAATCTTTGCAGCAAAATATGGTAGACGAGCTACTTATCTATACCTCCACAGTATTAATATCACATTGCATACTTATTAAAAGTATGGTAGCTCTGGTAGCTACTGACTGATTTCTGGACTAAATTTCACATGCTGGTTTAACCTATAAAACAATTTATGGCCAATTATCTGAGGCTTGTACTGCTCTTGCAAAACATTTGAATGTTACAATCTGGCAGAGGAAGCCCTGCTAAAGAGCTACCAGCTTGTATAGGCCTACTTATAATTACCAAAACCAGTGCTAATCTATGAAGGCTAAGTTATTTGATTTTAAAAAAACACATTAAAGTGCACATTATGAAATGCAGATACTGTATGCATATTTATTCCAGATATCAAAAGTGTACCAACATGTTATTTTTAAACTGATTTTCCTAGTTTGCTTTTTTTAAAAAAATCTCAAAGTGAGCTTCTAGTAGCCTCTTTTACTATGAGAGTGAGAGAAAGGAACCTGAAATATAAATATCTTTAAAATGTGGTCAGCATCTCTAGACTTTGAGCCTCAAACCCACAATGTTATGGCGAACTTGGAAGAATTTGCTTACCAAGCAAAAGCGGAAGCCAGAGAAATTCCTTGCATGTATTTCAACATTTCACAACACAGGGCAAAAGAAACCCAGTGTTCATTTTTCCATTTACAAATATGCACTGATGGGCAACACTCATAAATTTGGGGACAATCAATCAGTTGTTCCCAGAGACTATATGCTTCAAATAACACATGGTAAAAAGCAGTTAAAAGCACAATCACAAACAGCACAAATATATAAAACCTGTATTCACTGGCAGTATCATATTATAAACCACTTAAGCAAATATAACCTTTTCTACTTGTAATCTGTTTTCCAAGATCACTCAGTGAAACTTTATTAGTCAAGATCACTCGAAACTGATCAGAGTACAGTTCTCGTGGTTAATACTCATTATACACCCAAATTATATCTCACAGTAGTTTATAACACTATGAGCCTTAATTTTAATCTGTTTCTATATCTTGTTTTTAAATTGATAAAATGAATTCCATCTTCTTTCATGATGGATTAAACATTCTTCCCCAAATACACAAAACCACCTGCAGATTACCAAAGGTGCTTTCTCAAGAGGCAACTGCAGAAAAAAACCCATTAAAAATCGTATTTGTTGGTACAACCCACAATTCTCAGAATATATTATGTATAAATCAGCCGGACACTGGAGGCAGGGAAAACATGCAGGGCATTTCCAAAACAAAATGTTATTCTTGTATAAATTGGGCCACATATATAATATTAACAGTTGACAGCCAAGCCTATACCAACATTGCTTTCTCTTCCATAGCGGAGTTTGATCTCAAACAATTATGACACATTTTAAAAAAAGTACGTGCAAGGCATACCTGGGCAGGACTCGACACCTATATTTATTGAGAAAGACGTTGGGAGTGAGCAAAGCAGGACTGCTTCCTCATACCAATCCCCCACCCCACTCCCAAGTACAAGTCAGCTAGCTCATGTAGCCCCCCTCCCCTCTCCTTTCTTTTCAGGCAACGCAAGCGAACCTCGATCTTTTCCCCTCAAATCACAACTCAAGCGACTTCCTCCCCTCAGAACTCCGCGGTCGCTCCTGCAATCCAAAGCCGGATACCTGCGGAAAGCGGCGGCAATTCATAATACCACCATCCTGGGCGCCCCCTCAGCGCACAACCTCCCCAGGCCGCTTTGCTTCTCCTCCCCGCCCCCCCCCCCGCCCCCCCTTTTCCTCCGGCGCCGGAATCGGTGCCCCCCCCCTCCAGCTCGTCGCGCGCGCGCGCACAAACACTCGCGCGCGCATCCCCAACGTACCTGTGGGGCAGAATTAAGGCGCGCGGGGGGCGGGGGGGGAGAAAGGGTGGAGAATTCCCCCGGACTGAAGGCTTCGGGCCCAAGCCGCCGAGGGGGTGGTCCAGGTTCCCGATTTTCACCGGAGACCCGAGATGCTCCTCGGCCCTGCCGGGTGAAGACGGGAGGATGGCGTTGAAAGAGAGAGACGGAGAGCAGGCCCGGCGGCCTCTCGCCCCACAGGAAAGCGAAAGCTGCAGGCTCCGAGTGGGGGACGGAGGCAGAGATGCGGCGGCGGCTGAAGGACCCAGGCACTCACGCGGGCGAGGGGCAGGGGGAAGGATACCACGGCTGCCCCCCCACCCCGCATCCGTCACCTTATCCAGCCAGACCTTCCTCTCTCCCTGCCCCCTCCAGGTTTTTTTTTTTTCCTCTCCAGAGCTCCGCCTCCCTCACGCAGAAACCCGTGACACCGAACCCGGCGGCGACGTCAACGTCATCGCGCGAGCGCGTGCCTTTCCCCTCCCCCTGTTCCGACGCCGCGGCTTAGAGACAGCGTTTTCAAGGAAGAGCGCGGGGAGACCCTGGGAAACCTCAGAAGCGCCTTGAACTACAACTCCCGGCAGGTCCGGCGAAAGAGCTAGGAATGCTGGAAGTTGTGGTTTAATAAGCTTGAAGAATGCAGATGTACCCTACTCTTCGGCTAGAATGCGTGGCCTTAATGTATATGGAATATTATACGCAAACATATATACACATGTAATATATTGTGAAATATGTAATGCATAGATTGTATGTCTTAATAAAAAACTCTGCACTCTGCACACTATCGATAGTGTTATACGGTACTTCCCACCGTCTCCAGTAAAATCATTTTACGATATACTTTGCATCCTGGAGTAATGCACCAATATGTACACTTTCCGGGTTCCTCTAGGTGGCAGCTCCACAAAGACCAAGCTTAGAGTAATGCCCTTTTGTGCTCAAGTAATTTTTCTGAGCAAACATCTGACCACGAACCTTGAGTCCCTGAACCTTTACTGGCTTTTCGAGGCAAAATGATTTAAAACACTTGTTTTGTGTAATTTCAAATGTCTTTTTTTTCCCCTCTAAGAAGCAGCGGTCATGAAAACAAATATTTTTTAAAATATTTTTCTAAAATAAATCATTTTAGCATAGCTTCCTTTGGTCAATGACACCTTGACCTAGAGATGGACTCAGACAATGACATAGAGATGGACTCAATGATCTAAGATCGTGGAGGTTAAATAGATTTCTGTAACAACAGAAACCAGAGTTATTAAAGTTATGGTCTTTCTAATAATGAAGTTTTTGAGTTATGAAACTTAAGACAGGGTTTAAAGGTATCGTGGTCCTCAAGGTGAGCTGTGGACTAAATAAAACTCATTGCTCCTTTCAGACAATGAGCAGCAAAGAAGACTTTACATATTTCAGACATGAGATGTAAATAGATAATGAAATAGAGCAAAACTGGTTGGCAAGGCTGAGGAAAGTAAATGACAATTACAGAGTTTCATAGTGGTTTACAGTACTCTCTAAGAAGTTTAAAGAGTCAGCATGCATATTGCCCCCAACAGTCTGGATCCTCATTTTACTGACCTTGAAAAGATGGAAGTCTGAGTCAGCCTTGAACTGGTCAGGATCGAACTGCTGGCAGTTGGCAGAATTAGCCTGCAATACTTCATTCTAACCACTGTGCCACCATGGCTCTTAATTTCAAGTCCATTCTTATTCTGCAATGTTAACTAGATTTGATTGCCTAGTTCAGGGCTATCAAACTCCCGGCCCACAGGCCAGATGCATCACATGCTGGCCATGCCCATGCCTGGTTTAACAAAGGGGGTGAAAGTCCCGATACATCACATGACACAGCCATGACGACGTGAGTTTGACACCCCTGGCCTAGTTAGTTTAAACCCCAATCCCAGCAATGGATTATGATGATAGTGATGTATATCTTATCTTTTTTTCCAAAAGTGTCTTACAAAGTGTCCTCCAATTATCTTTATCACCGAGGGTGGATCTAAGATTGTCCAGTACTGAACTACATCATCACACCATTTTTTCAAATAACACAAATAAATATGAGTATTTATTTTGAAGGTTAAGCCCATAAATTCAAAGTGCCATTATAAGATCTTTTGATGTATCTTCTCCAGAAAGGGGTTGCCAACCTTTTGGACCTCAGGGACCACCAAATTCATAATTTTAAATCCCGCAGAGACCCTGGGAAAATCCCAAAAAAAGTCTGCAGGAAAATTCCCCACCCCATTTTCCTACCGATTGATCATTCTTTATTTGGGATCGCAGGATACCGTCTCCAGCTCCATTCTCAGGGGGAGAGAGAGACTTTTGGCTTCATGTAAGGAAAGCAGCAGAAATCTTTCTTTCTTTCCCCCAATTTCTGCCAGAAATGAGTCTTTGTGAGACTTGTCGCGCCGACATAGCCTGTTGGAGCAGGATGCCTTGCAGGGTCCCAAAGACTCATTTCGGGTGGAGTTTGGGGGAGAGAAAGAAATACATTTGCTGCTTTCCTTGCGAGCAGCCAAAAGCAGAAGAAGAAAGAAGCAGAAAGAAGCAGCCCGGTGGCCAGGCCAGGCGTGTGGGGTGAGAGGGGCAAGTTCCCCCCCCTCCACCTTTCCACCCTCCCCTCACTACCTCATGTTGTTCGCAATGCAAGCCTTGTGTTCCTGCAGGCCATGTGGGTGGTGCAGCCTTGTGTTCCCGCACAGCCTGGATTAATTGCTTTGGTGGGTGCTTTGGGGGGTGACTTTTCTCTGTGGACCACCAAAATTTTCTTGCAGTTGGCCACTGCTGCTCCAGAGCAATCAGAAAGTTTTTTTTACCTCAGCAATCTGACTCAAAAGTGGGAGTTTGAATCTGGCCAGCAGCTATCCAAGTGTTGAAAAGTTAAAGCAAAATGCCTATACTTGGTTTTTTTTTACTGATGGTGAGAGATAATGCAAAGTGTACATACATACATACATGTATTTATTTTTATGTATTTATCAATCAGAGTTCTTAACTGCCCATCTCCCTCTATCTGACGGGATATAGCATGCAATTAGGACTCATCCTGTTCATGGCTGAAAGGCAACTATGAAACATAGGTATAAACTATTTCTTTATGCTGAAATGTTAGTCATTCTGACTTTCATTATTATGGCAAGAGTTATTAACACAAAGCCATTAAAATAAACAAACTGTCATACAACAAACTACAAGCTATAGTTATTTCAACATCTTCCCACCCAAAACGTGAGAGTGACAAAATCAGACAGGATCTTGCACAAGATTCTGTCATTCTATTGAGAAAACATAAGACCAAAACCTCACATTTTAATTTATAGGGCTCTGGATACAATACAGGTAAGCAAATAAAAGAAAAAAAAAAAACATACAAAGGATGACATCTTCGCATCTCGCTGTTTTTGAGGAAGTTGCACAACATTCTCAGAGATTCTTCCCATCCTGCTTACAATCTTTATGAACTGTTCTTCTGGCAGAAGATACAGAACAATTAAAACTCGAACCACACGTTTTCTAAATAGTTTTTATCCTAGAGCTATAATTGCACTTAACAATGAACTTAAGGTCCACCATCAGTGAGCTGTTGGACAGTATTACTTGGTCTGTTGTGTGAATGCTTGTGTGTTTTTAGGAGGCGGAGAATTTTGGCGGGTGAGGAGGTGTTTGGGGATTGTCATGTCTGTGTGCAAGTTGAGTCTGGTCTCTGGGTATTATGTGAATTTTGTTGTATGTATACTGTGTATATATGTACAATGACAATAAAGAATTCAATTCAATTCATGAATGTTTCACTTTCTTCCACAATCTTGTGTAACAGGAATTTCATTTACCATGCTTTAACAAACAGCCATTTCACTTTCTTGACAGAATATTCATGGATCACAGAGGCAATGCACTAATAGGTTCCAAAAGTTTAGAGAACAGTTACAAGATTTTCAGTTTACCCAAGAATGTTTACCAGGCAATGAACTTAATATAATATGGTTCCATATTATTGTACTTAGTGAATGTTCTAAAAATTCATTAACATTTCATTAAGAAGTTTCTTCTAAGGCACAGATTTTTAAAATTGCAATTAATGACTGAAAAATAGCTTTTTTCAAATGAATTGGGAACAAATCCCATTTCTTTGAATTACAGTTTTGATTTAGTTTTTCCTGAAAGCATGTTTCTGAGTGCTTTGGCATTATGTCCATCTGGTGGCGGGGGCCATCTGTCATGATCTAGGAGAAAAGAAAAAGTTCCTTCAGAAAGCAAAACCAATGCTATTAATTTAAATTTCAAAGATTATTTTTCCAAAGAAAAACACTAAAAACAAGCCTAATGAAATGAGTTATTGTCACTTTTATATAATCTCAAAAACAGAAAAAAATGAATATATTTAATATTTCAGAATATTGTGATAGTCATTTTCTTCTCAATAAAGAATAAAGAGTTCAGGCATTTGGCTACATTCAAAATCTTGTTTGCTAGGTTTCAATTAAGAATGTTGTTTGAAGACTTAACACCTGAGAAATTGTCAAAGATATATGAAGGAACTTCAAATACATGCTGGAAATGTAATTGTAAAGTGTAGTTTTTATAATCTCTGATGGTTTGGTGATAAAGCAAAAAAATATTGGAATTATATATCCCTAATTTAGAATATTCTTAAAATAAATATAAAAAAAATGAATCCAGTCTTTTCCTCTTAGATTTGATGGACAAATATACTGACAGAAAATCTGGAACGTTTTACTCAGTCTTCCATCCTTCTGAGGATGGTAAAATGAGGACCCAGGTTGTTGAGGGCAATATGCTTAGAGAAGGCTGTAAAGCACTGTGAAGCAGAATATAAATCTAAGTGCTGTTGCTATTGCTAGTATGTTAACAGCAGCGCACAAAGAAGGTAAGATACACTAATTCCCACAATTGAAGAATCAATGGTGAAGGCGATAGATTTGGTAAAGATGGCAAAATTGATTACTTTAATTAAAGAGAAGAATTTATCTATTTTTGTTTCCATTTAAAAACCACTTCTGGATTTTTTTACTCAAAACTGAAAAAACAATCTCATCTAACAATCTAATTTTAGATTTTGATTATTAGAATGATTTTGTTGTTAGATAAATGGCTTGAAATATTTGAATTGTAATATAAAAAGTTGAGGGGTTTTTTTGTATTCTATTGCACTGAAAGTGGGAAATAGTGGGAAGTCACTACTTTTTTTTCTTTCCTCTTTATATTCTCTTGCACCTCTCTTTCTTCTTTTTAAACATTCTTAATTTTTGTTTGTATTTGTATTTTAACTCACAGTAAATTCTAGTAATTTTTGCTTTAAAGAAGAACGTTGTCCGACCC